ATTATAGTAAGAGATTCCTTTGATACCATTGTTGCCAAAAAGGCTTTTCACAGATTTTCTTCACTGATCTGCAACCATGAGTATAATCCTGATAAATCTTAAACACTTGATATTTTTTTATTATTGCTTTCTCTTTCAAGTCTCTCACTACCCTTCATACCAATCCTCCTTTTTGCCTTTAAAAAGAAAAGTTATCAGAAAATCAAAGATCATTTATGCAAACCATTCACATTCATCACCTTATTTTCAGAACTTCTCAATTACTTTTTTTTCCCTTTAACTTCCAGCCAGGGTAGGAGTCAAGGAGCATACCTTACTTCTACATTGATGTCTTTAAGGCAGTGGTTTCATTCCTTACTTTTATTCTTTTAGCCACTGACACAAAGCTAATGATTTGAAGGTTCCAGAATCTTTTGTTTGTTTTTTCTTTCTTTGGGCATCTCACAATAAACTCTCATATTTTTTTGCAAATACTTTAAATGTATGTACACTTTTCAGTCACAAACAAATCTTTTCTCAATGTGGTGGGCTGACCCTGGCTGAACAGCAGATGCCCCCTCTATCACTTTCCTTCCTCAAGTGGGCAGGCGAGAGAAAATATAATGAAAAATATAACAAAAGGCTTGTGGGTCGAGACAAGGATGAAGAGAGATCATTCACCTATTACTGGCACGGGCAAAACAGACTCAACTTGAGAGAAAAAACTAATTTTAATTTATTACCAATAAGATCAGAGGGTAATGAGAAATAAAACCAAATCTTAACAGCAGTTCTTCACAAACTGCTCCAGCCTGGGTCCTTTCCATGGCGTGCAGTCCTTCAGGGACAGACTGCTCCAGCACGGGCTCCCCACGGGGTCACAAGTTCTGCCAGCAAACCTGCCCTGATGTGGGTTCCTCTTTCTCGACTGGGCCACAGTCCTGCCACGAACCTGCTCCAGTGCAAGCTTCCCACAGGGGCACAGCCTCCTTCAGGCATCCATCCACTCCAGCGGGACAGCCTGCTTGACCATGGTGTTCATCACAAGTTGCAGGGGAATCTCTGCTCTGGCACCTGAAGCACCTCCTCCTCCTCCTGCACTGACCTTGGTGTCTGTGGAGTTGTTTCTCTCACATATTCTCACTCCTCTCTCTCACTGCAAAGTGTGCAGCTTTTTTTTTCTCTTCCCCTTTCTTAATTATGTTATCACAGAGGCTTTACTGATTGGCTTGGCCTTGGCCAGCGGCAGGTGCATCTTGTAGCCGGCTGACATTGGCTGTGTCAGACATAGGGAAAGTTTCTGGCAGCTTCTCACAAAAGCCACACCTATGCCCCTCCCCTACCAAAACCTTGCCATGCAAACCAAATACACTCAAGCATTCACATTGAAAATATTCCATACACACACTGACCTATAGTTCCAGACTCCAAACTAATATTCTCTTCTCACATTCCCTGTGTAGCAGTAAATCTATATGGTTTTATGACAAAAGAGTTAGTTTTCCATTATGCCCTTGCCTACTTCTTTCATATATATACTCTGAGATTTCTATAAGATTACAAACTTATTCTGAGATAAGAATAAATTCTGAGTGAATAAATAAATTAGACTTTGTCTTCAGTAAGTTACTACAAGAATACCATCAGCAGTGCTTTGATATTTCTATTATTCCAGCTCAAAGTTTTAACTTTTATAAAACACATTGCTTTTACAAAATGGTTCCATTTCTAGAAGTGACAAAAACAGCTTTATAACAACTAAAAGAATGAAGAGAAAATACCCTATACCACCCATAGCCCTTGCATAAACTCATCATTATCACCATCATTATTATTATTTAAAAAGTAGCACAGTAAAAGCATTTCCTCCAGTATGTTACCAAGATTATTGTCAGCAGGTCAAAGAAGTGATAATTCTCCCCAAAAGAGAAGGGGAGTAGAGGGTAATATTCTGGACTACTTTTTCTCAATTTGGGGTTCCCCACTTCAAGATAAATATAGATAGACAGTACAGTGGAAAAGCATCAAGATGATTAGAGGGCTGAATCATGAGATGCAGAGAAAAAGGCTGAAAGCTGTCAGTCTTGAGAAGGATAAAGGTCAAGGGAAGTCTTACTGCTGTCTCAAACTACCCAACAGAAGGCTGAAAATAAGAGGGAACCAGATTCTTCTTGTAGATGCAGCAGGACCAAGAGGCAACAGACTCAAGTTGCAACAAGAGATATTCCAAGATGTTACGAAAAGAATTGACTACAATGCTGAAAAACATGGGAACAGATTGTCCATCCATACAACTCCATCTTTAGGGATATCTCAAACTCAGCTGCTCAAAGCCTCAAGCAACATGAACTAGACTGGTTCTTTCACAAGGGTGATTGGACCAAATGCCCTTCAGAGGTCCCTTCCAAACTAAATAATTGCATGATTCAAGGACATGTCTCTGGACATCCTCAACAAAAGTGATTTTATTTCTCCATGTATAGTCTTTGCTCCATGTTACTACTCACTATTTTCCCTACGCTATGAAGCTAGACTCTCTTTTACTTTTTTGTTCTGGCACTAATGTTTCGTTCAAATCTCCATAACATCTTCAGTTATTTCAATTGCTTCAATATCCATTCAGAATCAACATCATTTATAACTTCTATACAAACATCTGCTAAAGCTTCAAATCTTTTCTATACTGTTCTGTATTCCTTTTTCTAGTAGAAATTCCTCAATGGATTATTTACATAAACATAAGACTTCTTCTTCTGGATCAACACTGAAATACTTTATGCACATCAGCTAGCAAAATGCACCAACTGAACATTTAAGTACTTCAATCTAATTTTACTCAATCAGAATAAAATTCAGTTAAAGCATCATTGAACATTCTGGTCCCCGCTTCCACAACTGGATACCTCTTCTTACACAATTACTTCAATGAAAAAAGTGCATAAGCAGACCCTTCAACAGAGTGGAAACCAGCTTATTCTTTGTAGGCTGCCATTTGGCTACAGAATCATTTTCAGCTTCTCATCTTTCTGGTTTATAGAGATGAAGCTTTAGAAATAGTCAAGGACTGTTCCCAAATCAAGCCTAGTGAATAGCTTGCTGATTCTACTTTAGAAAGCATGGTGTTAAATCTCTTCAAGACTGAAAAGTAAAGAAAACTGTATGTCTCCAAATTCTTTGGCAAGTTTTGTTATAATCGGTAAGTTATGTATAAGCTACAAACAAGCATCCTCTCTCTCCATAGTCATGAAAACAAAAACAGTTACTTTGCTGTCTTTACTAGAATTCATGCTGTTAATAAGAGCCACTGAGATGCCTGGTGCTATCTACTTATGTATTTAAGCATCCATGCAAATTTCTGGAAACCATTCACTTGAACAAAGATGAAATTTAGTTCCATGTTGCCCTTTTGACACCTACTTGCTGTTCTAAATAAAAATTTTAGTGTTTCCACTCCCTTTGAAAAATTAAGATGATGGCACACTTATATAATCCATGTGAGATGAGAGAGGTTTCAAAACTTAAGAAAAAAGATTAAGAAGTAAGCTCCACCTTTAAAAAAAAATTAATTTGTCCCTGCAGGCTATAGCCTTTTAATCACCCTCCCACCCCTCATTAGGCAGAAGAGGATACTTCACTGATTTTTCAACTGTAGATCAAATAACTCTCTTCTATTAAGGTTTTGTCAAAACAATGTATTCAGTCCATTCAGTTAAACTTTGACAGGATGTTAATCTTGTTAACTCTAACGTTCTCACTGTCTGTAGAGATTCAAAATCCTCTTCTGAGCCATTAACATGTTTGGCCTGAACATCATCTTGTCTCCCAAATTTTACTGTTTAATTACACACAGGAAACAGTATTTCCTCCAGTGGCTTTTAAACCTTCCAACCTATTAACTCAAGGAACATTCCTGGGAATTCTCCTAACATTATAAAGGCACCACAATTATCTTTTAGACTCATTCTAATAGATTCAAACAAAAAATGTCTACAGCCTGTGAGGTTTTCTTGCCTTTCTATCTTTGTACAACATTCTTAATATTATTAAGTATCAACTAATAAACTGGAATACTCAACACAGTAGAAATACTGCTAGAGACTAAAAAGTCCACTTTAACAAAAGTAGAATAAATTTCTCAGTTATGGTAAAAGAAACAAACAAACAAAATTAGATAATACAAGTCAAAGCATACAAAAAAAAATTTAAAAAATTGAGAAACTTGAGAATGCTGTGCGCATAAAAATATTAAAGCAAAATTTGTAAAACAAAAAATACAATAATACGTTTTCAATTTGAAAAGGAATTAGTCATTGCACCCCTTTGGCTGCCCCAAAGTACTAAGTCTCTGATACCAATAAAGGAGGGGGAGGGGGTAGACACATCAAGAAATAACAGTGGAAAGACAGGCACTTTATATATTGGGCAGAATAACCTAAACTACTGGTGAGACTACTTACTTCCAGAAAGGGATAAAAGGTTTAAAAGCAGGAATACTTCCAAATATTTTGCTATTCCACAAGGCTTTAAAAGCTGAAGAAGCTAAGCAAAATATCAAAGGAGATCTATATTGCTAGATTTATCAGAAACTAAAAAATTTCACTAAAAGCCTCCCCTCCTAAATGGAATCAAAACACATAAATTATCATATGCATTCTAAGGGTAAATATATCATCTTCCAGACTCCAGATTAGGTCACAGTATTTCATGAAGGTATTCTGACAAAGTTTTATAAATATTTTTTCAAATGTGACTGAATAAAAGTCTGTATTATCCAGAAGCATTTCTAGAGGGTTTCTTTATAAGGTTTTCCTTATAGATCAAACAATTTTTGTCATCCTTTAAGTAAAATAGTTCGATATTACTGCTTTAGGCAGTCTAGGACTTTCAAACATTTTCTTCACACATTCCACTTAAAAAACAGAATATTAATGTTATATTCTGATTTTTTTCATATAGTACTTCAGCCTGAAGAATTTTGAAGATATCTCGAAAAGTTGAAAATAAAGCAATCCATTACTTACCCCTTTTTTGACAACAAAAGGTAAGTTCCAATTTGCAAAGCATGTCAGCAGTCTCATACTTGTCCTCCTCTGCCTTGACCCAAAAACAGGATTCTGTCATTTCCTGAGGCCTGATCTAGAAGCAGAAGACAAAACAAAATTTTATTAATTAAATTATTTTTATATTATGCAGAGACTGTGCTCTGTAGAGTCTAAGCAAACAAAACACTTAGAAGTTCTGTAAAATGTGAATTCCTGGTATATAACTCATCTTTAGAGTTGTTAATATATTTCTGATTGAAGGAAATAATGCTTACAGTAAGTGCTTTTGGAGAAACTGATTCTAACAATACAAAGCAATACAGATAACATACTCTGTTATACAAGGTCTAAATGTAGTAAATTATCTTTGGGTAAACTTTCAACAGCCTCTGAACACAGCTAGTTTAACTAGATATTAAGTACTTTACTTTTCAGATTGTAGCTTTGATTGCTTCATAAAACTCTGAAAATCTTCTTACTGACTTACTTTGGTATAAATAATCAGAGTTTCCAAAACTCACTAGATTTATAGTCCTGGCAAATTTGATCTTCTCATAATGGAGAATTAAAAAAATAAACTGACTCTATTTTACCAACCTTAATTAAACTTACATAAGTATATTTACACTAAGGACATATGGAAAGACCCACAATGCTGTTTCTCACAGTCCAGGCTACATAGATGCAAGACACTTGTTTGGCAACTGCATAGCTATCAGTATAGTGCAGTGACTGATCCAATGTAAAGGGTTTGCTAAAAGACAAGGCATAATAGGACCCAGGAAGCACGCTGGTATCAAGGTGGTATTATTCCAGACCAGAACTGACTTTTCCAGGCATCTCAGAAAGTCAACAGATATTTGCCCAGACGATTCATGAGTCAGTGAAAGACAGTTTTCAGAAAACAATGAAAAATAAAGGCAGAAAGTATTGATATCTTACATAATTTTAACTAATGTATCAATTTCTCCATATAATCTTACTCCTGACAATCTATTTACCCTAAGCTTTATGCAAGATTTTACATCAAGTATTTGCCATTAATCAGTACTACCTTGGACCAGTTGAGTCTTTTCATGGTAACCTCAGGTCTGAATTCTTTTTTAGGTTTCATTCCAAACGGCAAAGTACATGAAGGTGGAGACCACTGTGCTCCAGGTAGGCCTGGTAGAGGCGGTGGTGGAGGAGCACCACCAAAAGCCGGAGGAATTCCCAAGCCATTCAAAGGTGGTGGAGGAGGAGGGGGAGGTGGTGGTGGTGGAATTGCTCCATTACAAGGCAGTGGAGGAGGAGGAGGAGGTGGCAGTTGATGTGGTCCTGCAGCTTCCAGTGGAATGATAGATGCATCTTCACGTGTTGATGGTAGAAAACCAGGTGGCAAGGATCCATACTGATAAGGAAAATATTCTTATTCAGTTTCACATTTTTTATTAACAAAATGCCATAACAACTGTAGTTTATAGATTAAATCCAGCAAGTCAATTGAAAGTCAATGCCATTTTTATTCTATAGGACAATCAAATATGAATTATAATGAGGCCAATGTGCTTTTGATTCCATAATTGGAAGTTTCAACATTTGAAACAGACATTCAGACCAGGGGTTGTGCACAAAAAGGAGAAACTGAAATGCTATATCCCACTTGTCATATTTCACTGATCATGATCTAAAAAGGGTCTGATAGGTATCCTGTTGAAATCTTATATAGACCACCACAGTTTAGCTCAAATTAAAAAAAAAAAAGAAAGCCTAATCTTTAGTGTTCTTATTTATCCTACAGATTACAGAGCAACATTCCAAGAATCTGAAAAGATTAGCAATTCTGTTGAAAAACAAATATTTTCCAATACAGGAGCATTCTCATTCTACAGAATTGAAAGGACAAAGTAATGATGAAAAAAAAAAATTATTCCAAAAGAATACAATTGCCTTACACATCAACTTCTTATTCTATATCATAAGGACATCTACACTGTATCAAGACAGGCTTATTAGCACTTCAGTAAGTCTAAAAAAATATATATTTATTTCTACTATTTAAAGAATTTCTATCATAGGCCTTCAAACATTAATAAATAGGTACCTGACAAAAACAACAAAACAATAAATAAGAAGTATTTATCTACAGGTCAACTTGTCAACTGATAATTATGAGCTGAAACAGTATATTATATTTTTAAAAATGGCGAGAAATACAATAAACAAAAGATTTAATATTTTTAAAAGGAAATAGCTAAGTACCAATAAATACAAATAAATACATCTACAACGTTACTTTATTTTTAATTTCTGAACATGCACATTGTTTATACTGACAAGTAGACACTGAACAATTAGGCTCTAACAACAAAAGAAATATATGAACAAATACCAAATACAAAACAGAGTAAAAGAATGAGACCAGGAGAAAAATAGTCATAAGAGGTAGAAGTAGCCATGCTAAGTAGCAACTGATCCTATATAGAAACCAAAGATTCCTCTTAAAATGGATTTAAGAATACTAAGTTGTAGTAATCAATTAGTTTATATTTACAAAACATTCCAAGTATTCCACTAACAGTGGGATAATTCATGGCATGATTATTAGTGAACATAGTAATACATTATGCTCACTGTCTGCATGTAAAAAAAAAAAAATGCATTGAACAAGAGAAAAAAAGTAGGAGAGAAAACTTAATTCACTCACAAAAAGTATTTGTTTTCAGGATACGCACATAAAAATACTTTTTTAATGAATGAAATACAGCTCTCACTAAAATTATTTTTATAGAATGAAATAATTGTTTTAATTGCTTTTTAAAGCCTGTTTGACTTTGACATTAACAGCTAATTCCGACAAGAAACCTGAATTAGAATGACATTTTTAAACAGACCAAAGCAAAGCTAAAGTAATTTTCCTCATCAAGAAAATTAAACAAGCTCAAAAGGATAAAAAAACCTCTATGATGAAAACATGTATTTTATCACTTTCCTATATGCATGTCTTCCCAATGCTGTCTGTCTTTAGCCATCTTTAGACTGTGTTGCTTATTCCAGGAAATAAGACACAGGAAAAATCACTTGGTCACACAGTCTGCTTACACAGACTTTAGATCTGAAGTAGTTAAAACTTGACTCACATATTACTCTCAAAAATCTGCACTATTTCTCTCCATCACATTTTAAAATATATATTTATGCTTGAAAATTGAAAAATTATCAAGAAATGTTCTTATCCAGCCACAGGTTATTTCTTTCACTGCTGGATATCCATGGTAAGGCTTCAGCAAAGCAAACTGCATAATGAATAATTTCCTGTGGAGGGATAAAGATCACAGTGATGAATGCTAATCTAAAAGTATAAGACTTATTACCCTATGTGGTTAATTACTTTGGAAATATATGACACTGAAAGCAAAATCCAAATGAAACATAAGAAACTAGTTTAATTAACAGAGCTCAGGCACAAAAAGGATCATCTGGAAAGTCAAACAGCTAATTAATGTCACACTACAATTCTTTGTGTAAACCAGAAATAAAGGAAACTAACAGTCAATAAAAATCGATAACAAGGATTTTTTAAAAAACCTTCAACTGTACTATCAGAATCTGCAAAATATGCAAAATTAAGTGCCTTTCAAAAACAATACTTCATACATTCATTTAAACTGTCTTATACCTGTGATTTAAAAGCTTGTAATTCTGCTTCAAGTTCATTGATTTTTTCTTCTTTTTTCTGCAGTAGGGCCTGGGTTTCCTGATGAACTACAAAATCTTTTTCAAACTAAAAAAAAAGAAGTGAGAAAAAAAAAAAGAAAATTGTTTATATTAATCAGTTCTGTATAGTTAGTTTAGATTCCAACTTTTCCTTTTATGTCTGTTAAAACTCATGTGTTAACAATATTAAGGACACATACAATATATCTGCTGTTCTAACTTCCATGTATCCACTGAGTGGAAGTACCATCTCAATTACCACTACAAGTCTTTACTGCATGAAACAGCATAAAATACTTAATGTATTTTAAGTTGGAATACAGAGTCTGTAGATACAAATGAATCAATTCTTATTCTCCCACTCTTTACCTTGCTGAAGAAACTGATAACTTTTAGAATAAAGTATTCAATTGATTTTGGGGAGTTTTGTACCCGAAACCTTTAAAATAAATAGCAGAAAGACTCTCAGTTAAGGTTTGAGGTTAATTACTTTACACTACTTTGCTCCCTACTCCACAGGAAACATACAAATTCCCACTTAACAAAGAATGAACAGTAATTTGAAATTAAAAACTATGCCACTTTCAGGTACACCATTCATGAAGTAATTCCATGTCACTTATGATCACATAACTTAAAAATTACTTACTTTTCTGGAAAGTTCAGAAGCCCTCTCTTCACATTCTTCTAATCTTGCTTTATCTACACAAATATCTTGAAAAAATAAACAAACACACTTGCACATATACAGGGAACACAAGATTCTTAGTCATATCTACAACATTAACTTGAGTTTTGGAACATATAAAGAAGTATGATGCTGTAATAATTTCCAAACATAGTACTTACCTACTAAGTGACTGAAATCTATATCTAATCTTTTACGATATGTGAAATCTGGGTCTGTTCCACTTCGATGTAACACTATCTGGGATACACACTCTTCGATTAATTTGAAATACTGTGGACTAAAGAGAGAGATGAGTTCTTTTACAGCATATTTATCTGTTACCACATACTTAAATTCTTGTCTATGAACACAGTTAAGTCAAGAGATTTGGGTTCACTTATTTCCACAGAAGAGTAGGTGCAAACCCAGAAAGTCTCAAAGGACAAATGCGTCTGGATATTTATTACACAAGAACAGTTTACACAAAGTCTGAAAAAACAGTTAATCTAAAGATAATTCTTAAACTCCCTCAATGGAAATACAGGAAGGAAGGACTCCCTTCTGCTTCCTGACAGTAAGAAGGCGGCTCTTCCTTCAGCTTGATCCATTCTGGTTTTGTGACTTTTGTGATTATGGATGCATTGTAGCCCTGTTTCAGTAAGAGGAATGAAAAGCACCTTGTTCTAAAATGCTGGGGGGGGTATGACAGCTGGGTCACTTGCCCAGAACATTCAAGGTATGAATTCAAGACCTTTCAGGTGGAAGAGGTCTAGCACAGGTGTACCCATATCAGGCAAGCACTCTTAAACTTTAAGGGGGTGTGTGTGTGTATATATATATATATATATATATTGCAATCAATAAGGCTCAGATCTCAACAAAAATAGTTTTCTATATCTATATCTATATATATAATTGTATCCTAAGCAGAAGCAACAAAAACATACAGATGGGATTCTTATTCAAAGCTGATATTTCTGAACATGAGTTCACAAAGGAATACTTATAAATTGCAATCTGCACAGAAAAAGACTAAATTGTATTTATCATTAAATTTATGGAAGAAATGTTCTATTAATTACTAATTTCCAAAAAAATCCATAATTAATATTTAACATAGCATTAAACGTACCGTATAAAATAATCATTTCTTATCAACAAAAGATGTTGGAGAATAGAAAGAAAATATCCTTCAGCGCTAGTGTCCTTAACTGTATTCCACACCATGTTGTAAACATCATTTACTTCAGTGAAAGTGTTAAGGAAAGTAATAGAAAGGAAAAAAAATAATTTCAGTCAAATGTGGACTGATAATGTTTTTAAACAGGAATTGTACCATAAAAATGTCACTATACACTTCTTTTGTTCATGTTTCTCTTGCTGATACAAAAAGGATATTCTAGTTCAGATCTAATATCTTCTAAACGGTGAGAGAATTCGATCATGTCTTCTTCCTTATGCTCATTGAACACTTTCAGCTGAATATCTAGTGCTTCGTTCTTTATACATTTCAATTGCTATAAAGAAGAAACAGTAGAAAGGCTTGTAAAATTAGCATTTCCATGTGTAAATAAACTTTATCTTTTTAATAACTTTCATAAGTCTATGTTATTTTAAAGTTTAAAATGACAAGAACACTAGTTAAACATTCAAAAGGTAAACATGGCTTCAGTCTGGCTTAACGAGGGACTGCACAACAGTGTCATGTTCTAAATCTAAAGTCCTAAAACGCTGAGGAATCAGCATAAAGTTCAGAGAGCACACTTCACTTTCTCATTCTTATTTTAAGACTGATTCTCATATCTAACTGCTCACGCCTAGACTTAATAAAATGCCTTTGAGAATAATTTATTAGAACTTGTTCTCCCATTCCTACTCTCAAGCTCAAATAGTCCAATAATTTAAATATTAATGCAGAGAGAGACTACAAGATGCTTACTGGCAATATCTCTTTCAATCCGCTGCGCATAAATTCATTTCTTATGTGAAGCCTAAAATCCAAGTCATCAGGAGACGTAACAAGAGCATTGATGAGCTGCATGCAAGCTACCTATAATAGAGAAAATAAACTATTTTATTTCTTAGATCTCTATATGCACCACAGTCAAAAAGACATAATGGACTACTAATTAGCCATTACATCATGTCTAATTATCGATCTACTGTTATTTTATAATTAAGATACTTAAATTGCTTATCAGCCACATGAGCTATAAATAACAAACACTAGTCCACAAATTTCCATAAAAATGAAATATTTTCACACTCCATTGAGTTTTGTCTTTTCATACAAATAGCAAGTTGCTTTAGTAAATTAACTTTAGCAGATAGTAAATACCTTGATAAGCATAATTCGCAACATATAAAAATCAATGTAATTATACATTTATCTACATATATATAAAGTTAGTGACATAATAGAAATAGTAAAGACTAAAATATCTGTTAACAGTGGAAAACACATTAGAAGGCAAAATGCTGATTAAACTAAAATGAGCCTGAAGAACAAAATGGGATTTTTTCCCTTCTTTTTTAAAAATCTTCCCTCTTTAAACATACTGAGTGAAATAGAATACTGCATGGGAACCAATACTTCAGCTCAAAAGCAAGAATCAGGTCAACTACGATGCCTGTATCAGTTTGTGGTTAACTAATGAGTAGTCTCTCTTCTGAAGAGTCAAGAGATTCACCAAGAAAACCCATAGCCAAGAGGAGCAGGAATTCACTATCCAGATTCACAAGCCTTTAGAACAATGACAATTTATTATTCATCATAAATAAGGAAGACAACAGCCATTATTTCTTTTTTTGCCTTCTTTATTGTTTGCCCATCTTGCTTCAATGCACAGGAAATGTGTTATTCACGTATTCCCAACATTTTAAGGGGTTTTTAAAAGCGCAAGTCAATTAGAATATGACTTCTGGCTTAAAATACTATGTAAACAAGTAATCTGGTTCAAATACTTTTTCAGCTGTAAAGTCTTTATTGGCTAGAAAATCGTGATGTATTATGCCATGAACAGGCAAATGTGATACCTGGAACACACTGTATCAGTCATTGTCAAAGTACATACAATTCCAAGTACTAAATTTACATATGGTCACCAGAAGAACTGGACGACCAAGCTACTTTGATAAAGACTGTAAAAACAAACAGCACTCCTTAGGTTTTCAAGAGGAACTTGCTAATATTAAATGATAACACAGACTACAACCATGATCCTGTGTTTAACCTCCTGCAAGGAATAGAAGTATGAAAGTACTTTTAGATATTATTTTAGCTAAACTGTTATGGCAGTCAGCATAAGCTAGGCCTACTTGACAGCAATGTAAGCATATGTAGATGAACTTTAGTTAACACTACAGAAGGGAATAGCTTATTTATAAGGACAGAGATGTAAAAAGTGTAAACCTGTTAATCAACATGGGAGCTGTGAAGCTGTTGAGAAAATCAGGTCAAGCAGTCTGTGAGCTCCAGTAGGATGTTAGGGATCAAGTGCTAGAATGACTCAATTAAACACTGGGTATTTTCCATCCAAGCCCATAAACGATGGTATTTAGAGTCACTTGGAGAGAGAACCCCAAGGACACCACAACTCTGCGCCATCTCTGGGATCATCTCTCCAGCCTCTTGAGATGTCTCACAGGACAAGGATGCTTAAGGGAGGATACCATGGGAAGGTGTGGCTGGAACCACTGTACTAACACATCTGACACCTCTCCTGGAGAAAAGCTGCCATGACAGCATCTATTCTTATATTACTCTCATACAGCATACCTTGCACCAACAATAACTTTAAAACAGTAACAGGAGGAGGGAACAAGCTTTGCTCCTTCCTGAGCAGCTGAGGAGCTGAAATTAAGTTCTATTCCCTCAGAACTCTACGAAACTCAGTACATGCAAATACCTAATTTGCGTAATAATAAAAACTATTGTTTTTGTTTTATTGATATCAATAGGACAAAGCAAACACAAGTTTAAGCAAGGTATTATATAGACATCTACCAAATTGTTTCATGAAAACTTAAAGAAAAAAAATTAAAAGACTAATGATAAAGACAACAGCAAGAACCTGCAACTAGACCGCAAACATTTAAAATATGCTTCAAGTGAAAGTATAATTGACTATCTAGAAATTAGCATATAATACTTAAATCATACATGATAGCAATAATTTGAAATTAGTTAATTCACTTAGAAGTAGATTGCAGCAAGACAGACCTGTTCAGCGAAGCTAAAACCCACAAGGAAAAAAAAAAAAAAACACATTAAATTCTATCAAGAAGAGGAAACAAACTTGTGAACATTTTCCTAACAGTGCAGTCTGGAAAGTTAGATTTTGAGGGAACACGCCAAAGCCAAGAGAAAAGAAAAATAATCCTCTTAAACTTGATGACCAGCATCCGAGTGGCTTATTAAATGCAGTTGTAACTAATAACCCAGGGAAGACTCAAGAGCAACAAAACCTTTTTGCTATCCTAAACTTTGCAGTTGGAAACACAACATATTAATATTACTCTACGTTTGACAGCAAGTCAATTAAAAAAAAGGAGCAAGCTTAGTTCAATTAGTGTCTGCATAAGGCACAGGAATAAACTTAGAATTCTCAAGAGTTTTTCAAGACAACACAGTTCAAACTTCAGATACCTGCTATATGTAGACAGATATCTATGTGTAGCTATATGCATAGCCAAAGTCCCATTCTTTTTAATCAGTAGTCTACTAGATTCTTCTTTAAGATTATAAATTCTAAAATGTCTTTACAACACACAGAGTGACCCCGGCACTCTAGGATCCATTGTCTTTACTGACTAGGGACCCAATTCATCAGCTTCAACAGGAACACACAATATGCTGAGTACCATTACAGCTGCTGCAGTGTGTCCCACCTGGCTTACAAATGCCAATTCAGAAGGGCAGGAATCTCCTACAGGAACTACGTCATATCTACAATTGGTATCTGAAACGAAGCTGAAGTTCATGCATGGGCAACTAAACTGAACCGTGGAAATCCACTGGTTACACAAGAGTTTAGATATCTAGCTCAAATGCCTGAGGGAGTGGCTTACTTGCAGACTGAACCCTATTTAGTACCTTACATCGCTAAAAAGAAAGATCTGCCACTAACTTAGAAAGCTCATTTGTTCCCAATCTACAAAGTTTTAAGTAAGTCTGATATTTTACCTCCATCTCTGTCTATTTGTTTAGGAAGAAAGTCTCCAACCACAAAAATGCCTCAGAAAAACAAAAAGTAAACTGTGTCATGATTACTTTTTAAATTAGAAAGATAGAGGTACATGACTTTAATTTAGAAATACCAGATTATAACTTTCTAGAGTTTCTAAAGTAGTGCTAAATCTGCTTAACAACATGATTAAAAAATTCCCAACATTCAAATTGTCCTGGCTTTTGCTAGGATAGGGTTAATCGTCTTCTTAGTAGCTAGAAATCACTGTGTTTT